CAGAGGGGTCAGTCTCGATACGGTGCTGTTAGATGGCACCGGCCTCGCGTGGATTTACAGATATATCCTGCATGCGCAAATAGAAGTACGGCGAGCCTAACACTGTGATGAAAAGTCTCTGGCTTCTAACAGTCATTGAAATACGGGCATTGCCCACTGGAATGCTAACAAGCAGCGAAGCAAGGCCGCGCGAAGCTGACTACGAGTTCGCAGGCATCTAGTCATGCGGTATTGGTATAAATGATCGCGAGTGGAAGGGCTAATATATCGCATCCGCGTCAAAAACGTACAGTTTCTGCTGGCTGAAAAAAAATCTCGCATTGCATATTCGACTTGTAGTGGATCATGCGAAACGACGTGCGACGATACTGTGGAGACAGTTTCTCTCCACGCGACAGCTGGAGTGGCAACGCAAGACGGATAGAAGTAGACTGGTCTAACGTCGTTGGAAATGTGGTAAACTATCCATAAATATCACAGACCCAATATTCGTGTCAATATCGTTGCGCGGCGAAGGCTGTTCGTTTGGCCAAACCGATTACTAGTGATGCTATTGACATTTGCTTGGAGAATTTGCATGTGGTAGGTGTCGGCGAAATTTTCAAGATGGAATGGCAGCCGAATAAATCTTCAGTGTCTATAGGAGACCGACGCAAAGAATTACGCGGTGAACGATGATAAACGGGTAATACAGAATGTGGGTAATGAACCGTAATTACAACGCTGCGAGAGCATTATAAGAGATCCAAGAGACTTGCGCAACTATAGTACGATTTTGACGAACGAATCCCGTTTTATCCATCGCGCTGCACGGGTGTCTGATTAAAAGCTTGTAAGGCTCCGCTACTTAGTGGGGCTAGATAGATGGCACCACTGGAGACGGAATCGATCAGGAATTGTCGATGTGGTAATGTAGCGTACTACTACTCTAGGCACGTCCGTTATGCGCGGTTTAGGAGTTACATATTCTCCGGTTCTCATAGATTCTCTAACCAACGAACGCAGCAATCGGAAAGTTTTAATCTTAATAAACACATGTATGTTGTGCTTCACTCATGGGCTTCGAGAAGAAAAAAACCACACGCAGACACGCACACACGCACACACACGCGCTCGCACGCATGCACGCTAGCACGTACATGGTGAAGTACAAGCGGGCTGACCAACCATAGCTTATTCGTCGGGAAAATGTTCCTCATATAACATTCGGGCAGAAAAACGGTAATAGTCACAATGGCTCCCCGAGGAGATATCGTAAAAAGTCAAGGTCAGTCATGTATATAATCGTAATTGAGTTGCAGACTTGCCAGGCGCTGCTGTCACGTATAGAATCACGAGAGTGGAAAAGGTGTGGGTTGCTACACGCGACCTTTTGTTATGTCCGTCCGGCGAGTGTCCTATACGCATAGAGACATTACTCGCATCTGTAAGAGGCCAGCTACGTATACATAGCAAGCGATTCCGCGTGGTATATATGAAATTGGTCGCGCATGAGTTCGAAAGCGACGTCAGAATCGCGTGCATGACTCCCGGGTGATAAAACAAATGTGGAATGGTCGTAGCTGATCGAAAGCGCGTATAGTTCCTAGCCTTGTGAAGGATTTCACTCCTCTTTACCGCTGTGCGGAGGACATGCCCGTGAAATATCACGGCATAAATAACGCAACTGTGCCCGTGCTTTAGGTACTGTTAGCTGTAATTGTGATCGCCCACCTCTAATCCTTTATGTATAGCATAGTGTCTAGCTCACTATTCGACCTGTTTTAGTGGCTTATATGCCTCAGTAGAAATTAAATAATTGCGGTAATTCTTTATAAAATCTGATGATCACTCATGAAAATATTGGTGATCCACCAACTTATAATTACCGTATACAATCATTTACTGTTTCTGTTAACCCGTTTGTATTTTTTCCATTTTCTCCTATGCCTTTTTAACGTTGTTAATGTTTCCGCTCCTATCACGTAATAGGCCCTTCAACCTCTCGTATTCGTTGACTACATATTGGTAATTTGTATCATTACACTATTCATCGCCGTTTTATAGCTCTGTCATATCTCATTGTTTTTCCCGTGCGTCACACCTTTCCAAGCACGCCCACTCCATAACTCCCTGTTAACATTAACGTCATATTTTTACTATCAGTCGTGAAATATTGATAAGCCCTTGACGAACGCCGAGGCAACATGAGAGCTGAAGAAATCTTGACGAAACGAGGGTATTTTACCTGCTCGCCGATCACGGCCCGCGCGAAATCGACTGCGGATCAGCGATAGTTACTTCAACTTTCATAAACAAACTGAAAAGATGACGACATGAAGTCCCGAGCAACGAACGCACCGACAAATTACTAGAACACGCTCAACAAAGCGAGTGGGTGTCGATACCGATTTTTTCTTAGCGCGCTCAACAGTTCCTGAGCTCGCATCCGCTATTCGCATGGTGTCATACGAGCACGGCGTTGCAACGCGGACACTGTCATCGCTGATGTACCCGTGCATAAATTACCTAGACACGTTGGATATTAGCTACAGCTTAGAAAGAGAATATTCGCTCTTTATCGTGACTTATTAGGGTGTGTCGCGCTGTATCACGCAAACAAACGAGAAATTATTTTAACGAAATTAAAATGTGATTTTTCGCAAAAATCTCAGCAGTCTCCGCTCTGATGATGCAGCAAAAATTGTGAAATGCGCATTGGGCCTATAGTCCCGATTGAGAAAAAAGCCATTGTAACAATTCGTCTAAATATTTAGACACGCACGCACGCACGCACGCACACGCACGCATGCAGTACTCCCAACAAGTCGATTACTCCACCAAGTGTCATTATGGCGTCTGTTCCTGTTATTCGCATGTTGCCGAGGTCGAAGGCCCAAGCCACAATAATTAAACTTCGGCAAGGCCGAGACCTTTGCAATGCAATGGGCGAGCGTCACCACGTTAGCTCGCGCGTCGCAGCCCGCGATCGCGGGGTGCTAATGTAGCAGCGCAGCAACGCACCGGTAATTGCCTAATGGTCCATGGCGCGTGCTGAAATGAATTACCACCCGGTGTCTGTCGAGCTTCATTCTATGTAATGCGTCAGACAGTAACGCGACGAGCGACTCCTAAACCCCAACCATCGCCATCAATGGTTTTTACGTCACCAATGGCTGACTGTAGTATCGTGACCACCATCCGGTCAACAATGATGTCTGTATAGTTGGAATACCACTGGATATCAGTGGTACTTCTGTGAAATTTCTTACTATTAAGAAATGCATTTTTTTTTCAGTGTAAAGGTAGTCAACTACATGGTTTTCAATGGCGTGTTAGCTAATTGACGGACCGTGAGATTATTCTACGTCATTTTAAATAGCGCCTCTGGTCGCACGGGATCATAATATAACCAGATATTATCGCAAGCTGCGCAATTATATTGCCATCTATAACGCTTAAACTGATTTCTTGTCATAAAAGCAGCCAATCTAAAAACGCTCACACGGTTATAACTACAACTACTTCTTCTAATTATTTCCTCCTCCTCCTCCTACTCCTTCTTCTTCAGCATCATCATCTATTCCTCTATTCATATACTACACCGAGACGAAATCTGCGCGATCTAGGACGTTATACGAAAGGCGACGTTTACAGAGACGAAACAAGAATGTGCTGACTGCCGTGGATTGCTGAATCTCTCATGGAGGACAACTTTTAAGAACCGACTCGTGTATGGTTTAGAACCACTCTCCGGAAGACCGACGGAAGGGCCGACGAATCTAGGCACGTGTTGTTAGAGATTCCGAGTCAACGCGGCGGTGACATTATTTCCTGTTAACTACGTCGCATGAATTGCGCTTCTCGCGTACTGATATTAGGCGTTATTTACTGCCGGAAAATGAATGGCTTTCCATTTTTGCAGAAATTAATACACTTGGGAGGATATTCGACGCAGTAATCGACAAACGCTAGTCCCAATCCAACATCACACTGCAAGGCATTCAGCAATTAAATTGCAGCTGAATACGCTTTCGCATTCCGCTCTCAAAGCGAGATGATCTTCGAGGAAATAACTCGGATCTTTGGAATCAATAGGACGTATAGCGCAGCAGACAGATCCAATCTAAACGTGATCAATTTTTATTCCAGCCTCGCCCGTACACGTGCCACCGGCATAAGCCAGCATTAAACCTCAGCAGGCAGTTTTCCTTGCCGATGGGGAGTGATGCATTAATCTTGTTTAGACTGGGCTACGGACTGACAATAAAAAGATGCGAGATAGGTGGTTCTGGTTAGGTAGTCAACCTCCATCTTGATCATATTGGGATTTGCGCCTGAAAACATTTAGCCTTGTGACCGTCACGCAAAAAATATTGAATTAAGATAACGAGCAAAACAGCAAAAGACATAATTTATGAGCAATCTTATTCGTGGGGTGGGGGGTCGGAAGTCCCTATGCGGTACGTTGAAGTATTCAGTTTTTCATAATACTTATTATCAAGAGGTAATAATACCGATTATTAGCTCTTGTTATTATGTATGCTCCGAATATAAGTTGATGTGAAACCTTATATGTAATAATAATTATGATGATATATATAACTGTAGCTATAGTAGAGACAGCTGATACTGGGTCGACGGAATCTAGACACCTCCCTATGCAGTATTCATACTCATTAATACTTCTTGCAGACGTTATACTCTCAAGTAGAAATCTCCTGAACTCATTGTACGGTTTTGTTACAGTCGGACGTAACAAAATCCCGCATCTCTAAAACCCTATACTTAATGAATCTCATTGCGTTTTGCTACGTACCTCTGTCACTACCCCTAACATACAACTTCAGCTATTTGCTCCAGCCACTTGGTGTCTATTTTCCTGGATGACTGTAATTGTGTGTGCGTACTTTCTTTGATTCTTAAACCTTACTGATAGAGTACACTTACTTCACTGACTGAGCAAAGATGATTATACAACAAAATATGCTGCAAGAATGATACGTAAATAACAGGAAAACTAACTAGTTATCATTAATGATGAACTATTTCTATATTGTGTATTACGCACACTTACAGTTGACAATAAATACGCACAAATCGCTTTCCTTCTCAATGCATACACAAACCAGAGGGGTCAATATATAATAATTTTCAATTTAATGTCACAATCCAGAACGCATGCACTATCAATCATCACATTTGTGTGATTTACAGTGCAAAATTTTGTTGAATTAGCATTCTGTCATGTGTTTCAATTAGTTCCCATGCAGATTTAACCCTACCAACCCAAAATACAGTCATTAATCCAACTTGTTACATTCAATTAAAATTGGTTGGTCAATGTGTGCATTTTGCATCATTTAACTGCATGTAGCTTCAAAATTTATGAAACTTAATGAGACTATTATGGTAACAGCATGTGCGCAGTGTCACCGTTTACGCGGATCTGCTTTCATGAGTTTAAGTGTCCTTTTTATGTTCATCTTGCGAAGCCTACGCCAGTACTCCCATGAATTCTGATCCAGACTTTCTAGATCTGGGTTCTTCTCAGTCGGTAACGTCCACAGCCAGGCTGGATACCTGATGCAAAAAAATGAGCCATTACTATACAAGCACCGAGTTTAGATTCACGCCCAGAAGTACAAAAAATGAATTCCTCAGCAATCTCACTAACCAAATGCACAACATGACCACATCTCGATTTGTGCTATAAAAAGAAAATCCAATACATGTATAAGAACACTTCAAAGTGGTTAAGCCAGTACAGAATTACTGAAGTAGACTAATCTTAAGGAAAATATTCTACCAAAAATATCGAACATGTAGAAAATGTATTTTAATTCCCAAATACATCAGCTATTCTGCAGAAACAACAAGGGGCCAAATAACCATATATTAAATTGCCATGTATTAGGCTTTAGAAAATGGTGTGAATTAGAATTCACTCAGGATTTCTTCCAGTCTTAAAAATGGAACAACCCTGATCATGTTCCCTCAGAGATGATAATTCAATATTCTAGTAAAATGCTGGCTCTATAAATTCAAATAAGTCCTAATTCATTGAGTTTTAACCTTGTTGTTTTAGCAATGATGCTTTATCTTTAAGTTTTTACCAATAAACATATTCAGCCCATGCATGTTGACATGAAGTGGTCCTTTTTACTGCATCAAAACCTTTTGACCTCCTTTAACCCAAAATTTGGTGTGACAAATAATGTTTATTCTGTTCTCAATATCGATTTTTTATTTCTAATAAGAATTAAGATTATATGTCTCACACTACTCAGTCTAGTACATTAACCCCAATTTTCCTTAATTTACAGCTCATTAGATATTAAACATTTGATATCGCTCTTCAAAACATCAGATCTACTTCCGGCATAAAAACAATGTTATTAACTTATTTGTGACTGTAATGTTGTAATGTTGTCACACTGCAATATTGCACAGAAAGTGCACACTATCCACACCAACACCAAGCAGTAGTTGTGTCGTGCAGTAAGAACACACTGCCAGATGGTGCTGTGAAAGCCAGTGCTTCGATTGCCTTGCCTCCCTCAAAAAGAAGATGCAATTATAGAAACAATGATTGACATTCGAGTATGCTTAATACTTATTCGTGTGCTTACTCTTCATCTTCCTTGAGCAGTGGGTCTTCTCCTTCTTTAAAGTAATTGGCACCACTCACTCGTGTGTTTAACTTGTGGATATCAGTTTCTACTTCCAAAATCTTCTTTTGTATAGATGTGGCAGCCTTCCCTGTAAGTGCAGTAAATAACATGCAAATATCTGACATTCCTGAATGAATTTGTACCAATACATTTATTACTACAAAATCAGTAGACCTGTGCATATTGATACAATGTACTCTTATGGTATAGAAACGTTTTCCAGTTTTAGATAAAAAAACACTAGGCTTTATATGGATGTGATTCAGGTGTTTCCAGGTTTTGCTAAAGGTGGAGTATAGTGTTTCCAGGAACCAAACTCTTAGGTGACAGATTATGGCCTGCATAGTGCCCAAGAAGTTTTTGTAAGGCAGTGCTTGCTGTATATCTTTTGGCCTTAGATTGAAAAAAATTGTGTCAAATAATTATAATAATACGTGCCTAAGATAAAATTTATTTCTGAGCAATCTATTTTTATATAAGAAAAACGAGGGGTACGATAATAAAAGAAAAGGGGTTATTCAGCCTGTGAATCAATACCCTGTGTTACGGACAACTGGATTTACATAAATTTGCCCATAAGTAATTTGTTAATTGTGACCACAACTCAGAACACGACAATACGCCAATATATAGTTTGTAAATTATTACCACTAAACTAGACATGTATACAAAATGTCAATACATTCTTAGGGATCTTCTCACAAGATTGAGAGGTTATTAATATTTTATATAAAATGTGGCATAGTCAACCGCCAACAATAAAATTAATCTAATAAATATGCAATAAGATGCCAACATAGCCTAGCTGGGACATCCTTGATATGTACAGCTATCATATTAGACATTTTGTTCTACACGTGTAATGATTGTGAAATGCCTGTGTTCTTGCAATCACTCCTCCTACATCCAATATCCCCCAGGTGCACAGTAGTATATATATATGGGTTGTACATGTACTATCTCTGGTGTACGTGATGACAATTCAAGCCGTGTGGAAAGTTACCATGCAGCGAGGGTAAATGGAATCAGTGAAGCTAATAACACCCGTAAAGAAACCACCCTGCGGTTAAAACATGACAGAGGTTCGCCAATGGCAAAAAAACATGGATGCATCCCAAAAGCCATTGGAGTTGACACATATATATATATATATATGCATAAAGAAAAATTTGGTCCACCACTGAGACAGCTACACCTATCACTGCACGTACTTTATACAAAGAAAGTTCAGTCTGAATATGGGATATGGTGTGACGGAACAACTTTTGAAGAAGACCAAAATTTGTACAAAGAATGCCAGCAGGAGGAATGTAAATTCTATGGCTATACCTTTTCAGGCCAGTAGAGCCTGGTTTGACAGGACCACACTTTAACTTTCATAGCTTTGAGTCAACTGGTGAAGCTGTGAGTGCTGATACAAATTTTTATTATTAAATTTTTATTGCATATATAATTCACATACAAATACATATTATACAAAGCAGTCTTTTACAGTTTACATGGAGAACAAATCTGATGTATATGCAATAGATTATGTTGAGCTAAATGATAAAATTTACTTGATTTGAGTGCAATAATTGCAAGGTACGGAGCCAGCCATCGTTTCTGTCTGGATGATTGATGTACTTGTATATAAATAGAAGTGTGTGGTATTTTTGTGGGATTCATCCTACAAGCATATAGTATAATTTTGTTACACATGAGCAATCTCAATTTTCAATCTCACACAAGTTAACCGTTGTAGGCGAGCTGTCCGATCTCCAGGCGGGTAAACTCGACACACGGGTCGAGTTTGCCGGAGAGGCGAGAGTTGACTACGTACGTACACAGGCACTTGGAGCGTTTCAATAAAATATATAATGCTAAATAAATATGAAATCTATTTACTACCAAAGTCTTAATGTTTCTATACTCTCATTCACCTATTAATGCCGACATGCAATTTCCTGTAAATGCCGTCCAAATGCTCATGTGCAACAAACGCTGGCTGCCGCTGCACACTGACACATAAATATATAGCAGGTAGGAAAGTGTGCTGCTAAACTTCACTCGACGCTCGCTTGATTTCATACGAATACAACACAAATATTCAACCATTCTACTCCATATTTGTTTCTATTTGAAGAACAGTGTTCACTTGTTATAAAAACATACTGTCTGTGTTTGTAACCAAGCTGTGTCACGCGAAATCACACAAAGCCTGACGAAATTCTCGCGTTCGCTCCCGTTGTGTAGTTTATGTAAATGGCTGGCGGAATCAGGAAACACCCACCGGCGCTCTTCGTTACCTCATTTTTGCGCCGCAACGCTGCAACGTTTTTGCAACGCTCCACTGGCGGCTTTGACGAGGCTCGTACGGGAGTTGGAAAACAGCGTGGTAGTTTCCCAAAATGCAGTGCGTCACCTATAGCCATGTACTTCTACTTCTACTTCTATACTGGACAGTCCCTAAGGAATAAACGTCCAGGGCTATAGCTAGCCATGGTGTGTGTGACCTAGCTTGGGTACAGCCAGGTAGTTAGCCTTTTTTTTTGCCGAATGGCACTGAGGGTGGTCACAGCCAGAGTTTTTTGCGCCCTCAGTGGTTCTTTTTACGTCCCCATAGGTCTTAGTATTACTTATTACTATACTGCGAGACGGCGACCGCCATTTTACGATGGCATCGAGCCTCGGGAGAGATTACTAGATGCTCAATGTTGAGAGCCAGGTTTTACACCTTCAGAAAATTCACTGTGCCCCATTTGGGATTTTGTACGTTGGCAGCCAGTTTACATAACTGCGCACGGACGAGACGCAATAATTTCGTCAGGCTTTGTGTTGATTTCGCGTGAGCACAGCTCGTATCGAACACATAGAGTATGTGTTTATAACAATTGAAGCACTGTTCTTCAATGATAGAAACAAAGATGAGTAGATGTTGAATATTTGTGTTTGTATTCGTATGATCAATCAAGCGAGCGTAGGCGAATTTTGCAGCAACGTTCCTACCATGCTATAATATTTATGATGTCAGTGTGCAGGCGGCAGCAGCGTTGTTGCAGATCCAGATGAGCATTTGACGATTTATAGTCAAATTAGTCCGGGCAAATAGCTGAAAGAGAGTATGACAACATGAAGCACTTGGGTAGTAAGAAGATTTTCGTAATTATTATAGACCCGCAAGTGGAGAACCTCGTTCCTAAGCTATCTTCTCTTTTAGTATAATTAGTGGTAAATTTTTTTTTTCTTATGCAGTTGACAAGGAATCTATACATACCACGTTTTGCTACTGGCGCGGTTGCATATTTAGCCGACTGAATATGATAAAGACTAGTCGCATATTTGAACTTTAAGACGTAACATGAGGAACGAGCGATTAAACATAAACTAAGTTTTACACAGGACGTCGCCATCTTTTTATGACGTCATATAGTCTGCGCATGTTACCGCACAATGTGTCATCCAATGTGTCCTGTGTAACGATTAATCACTCTGGTTTTGCACCATTGCTTCATTTGAGTAAGCTATAGATCACGTGGACATTTGAAAATGCGTAGGGCGTATAAATATATATATATATATATATATATATACAGGATTTAATAAAGACAAATTGTTGACAAATCAATTTTGTCTTGATAGCCTATAATATACATCAAGAGCTCATAATAGAGAGCTCTCTATTATGAACTCTTGATATACATTGATACATTGATCGAGCTAATAATGACAAAATTTTGCCAATATTTGTCATTATTAGCTCCTGATTGATGTTATCCAGATGAGAGCGCAGAGAAGTTTTAGAAAGCGTTGCGAAAGAGGTGTTGATCCCAAAGCGCTGACAAACAGTCTTGCGCGCAGTGTTGCGGCAAGGGCGACACGGACGCGGGAACTGCCTACGGCACAGTCATGCAGCAGCTGGCAGCTATGATCGACTTGCGCGATGCATGTCGGCGCACAGAATCCATAGCTTGCAGGCGAGCAGTCGATAATTTACCCTGGGAATACATAGAAAAGCCTCAGCTGCATAGATCGGAGCTTGCTGTCCTTCAAGTTCAATTCAAAATAATCATGAAAAGTGTCACACCTCCTACTTACTACACTGTGTGTATAAGTTTATATATGAATTGTATTATTATTATACACGTTTAATAGCGGCCTTCACTGTAACAAGCGGCAGCTTGCAAGCACGAGTACATAAGCTGGGTTTTATAATAATACATGCGAAAATACGCACTTTATTAGTAAATAGAATTTTCACCTATATAGCCACAACACATGACGACGTAATAATACAATATTGCAATAGTGAATAGCTTACTGAATATGATCATCTTCTCAACAANTGGTTGAGGGAGGAGGAAGAGGAGGAGGGGAGAATGTGATAGAGGAGGAAGAGAAGAGGAGGTAGAGGCGCCCTCCTCTACCTCTTTCCTCTTCCACCTCTTCTCCTCCTCTCCTCCTCCTCCTCCACCTTCTCCCCTCTTCCTCCTCCTCCACCACCTTCTCCCCACCTTCTCCCCCTTCTCCTCCACCTCCTCTCCTCCTCCTCTTCCTCCTCCTCCTCCTCTTCCTCCACCTCCTCTCCTCCTCTCCTCCTCCTTC